TTTTTACTTTCACATATTTATCTCATTAAAATTCTTTTTTTTTTTTTTTTGGATAGGCTGAGTATGAGCTTTCAACAGGAGGCAGCACCAGAAATAAATTGAACATTGAGGCCGAGTATGTTCTACTTCTGATGATCATCTTTCATGACAATGTTTGTTTGATCTATCCTATCCATCAGAAATAACGAATAGTTACACTCTGATCAATTAATATTAATGAAGATGGAAATGCACCTATTTAAAAAAGATGGAAATTGCACTTGAGCACTTAAAGTAATATTAGTGAAGATGAAAATGCATATAAATGAGCCGAACTTGGTAAATCACTCAGTTAAATGAATGGATGTTTCATACAGTCAGCTAGTTTAATGTAATGGTAACATAATTATAGTTTCATTTAGGAAAGAGGCTTGCATTTGATTTCGACTTCTGATCTAGGATATATATATATATATAAATATATATATATAAAATAATTTCGTATTTGTTTGGATCATTAGATGCTTTATGATGTACTATTTCTCAGTTAATTATTAGCGTTTTGATATCTTTACTAATATCAATTTTATTCTTATTGTATTTGGTCATGGAAGGATCAATCTGGATGGACATCGGCCAAGAGTGAGGCGGTATGCTTACGGACTAAGGAAGCTTATAAAAATTGGACAAGGTAAGGTGGCAGCTCATGGTTTGGTTGTTGATTTTTATTTAAGGTAAAACTGAAGATATACTATAAAGAGAGAAGAAGCAAGGTGGGAAGACAAGAAATTCTCCTAGGAAAAGATACAAAAAGGAAACACTAAAAGGGAATGAAGAAAATAGTTTGGGGCATGATGGAGAAGATGGATTAGGGGATGCCTGTCCTCTGTTTCTTTCATGGTAATTGTGAATGGTGAACCACAAGGTGGGTTCAGGCCCCTAAAGAACCGAGGCAGGGAGATCTATTGTCACATTTTCTGCTAAGCTGGATGTTGACTACGAGGTCAGAGAGAGGAGTGATTCGGGGTTTAGAGATTGGTAAGGTCAAGGGTGAGGTTTCTCATTTGCAATTTGCTGACGACACAATTCTTTTATTGAAACATAATGATAGGTCCATTATTAATGCACTTACACTTTTCCAAGTTTTTGGGCAAATTTTTGAGTTAAAATAAACTTGGTGAAGGGTGGGCTAATTGGGATTAATATAAAGGAGGGAATTGTTGATCATCTAGCTGAATCCATTGGTGCATAGACTAGTTTGGCCCATCACATATTTTGGAGTCCCTCTAGGGGTAACTCTAGGAATGTCTCCTACGGGAGAGGAT